TGAACTGGCAGAGACTGAGCAAGATAGAGATCTTGGAGTTGTAGTAGATAACTCACTGAAAATGTCAAGACAGTGTGTGACTGCAATAAAGAAGGCCAATGCTATGCTGGGGATTAGGAAGGGTATTGAAAACAGATCAGCCAATATAATAATGCCCCTATATAAATCAATGGTGAGACCTCATTTGGAATACTGTGTGCAGTTCTGGGCACCACACCTTAAAAAAGATATTATAGCTTTGGAAAAAGTGCAGAAAAGGGCAACTCAAATGATAAAAGGGTTGGAACACTTTCCCTATGAGGAAAGGTTAAAACGCTTAGGGCTCTTTAGCTTGGAGAAAAGACGACTGAGGGGTGACATGATTGAAGTTTACAAGATTATGCATGGGAAAGAACAGGTAGAGAAAGAGGTACTTTTCTCCCTTTCTCACAATACAAGAACTTGTGGGCACTCCATGAAATTACTGAGCGGTCGGGTTAGAACGGATAAAAGGAAGTACTTCTTCACCCAAAGAGTGATTCACACATGGAATTCACTGCCACAGGAGGTGGTGGCGGCTACAAGCATAGACGGCTTCAAAAGGGAATTAGATAGGCATATGGAGCAGAGATCCCTCAGTGGCTATTAGCCACAAGGTATAGCTAGGGGCTCTGGGGCAAGTGATGCTCTGTCTTCTTAGTGCTTGGGGGGGCCAACAGTGGGAGGGCTTCTAATGTCCTGGCCCCACTGGTGGACCTCCTGATGGCACCTGGTATTTTTGGCCACTGTGTGACAGAGTGTTGGACTAGATGGGCCTTTGGCCTGATCCAACATTGGCGTCTCTTATGTTCTTATGTTCTTATGTAACATAAATACAGAATAAAACATACATAATTAAACACAACAGTTAAAAATAGTACAATACAAAGTGCTGGCAGCGATTAAAAAATCCAATTAGATGGAATGATTTCAAGTGGATTTCCAACAGTACTCAATGTTCTTCTGCTCGTCGGCTCTTATGGCAGCTGCTCGATGGTAAGTGCTAGATGTTCTTCTGCTCAATGGCTCTCCTGGCAGCTTCTCGATGGTAAAATTATGGGCTGGGCGCTGTGGTGGCGGCGGCCCCTAATTATATGCCCAGAGGAAGAGCTCCGTCTTGCAGGCCCTGCAAATCTGCGAAAGGTCCCACAGGGCCCTGATCTCCAGGAGCTCATTCCACCAGGTAGGGGCCGCCACCGAGAAGTCCCCGGCCCTAGTAGCAGCTAGCCCGGCCCCCCTCAGGCCAGGGAGGGTCAGCCGGTTTCGAAAACCAGACCGTAATGCTCTCTGGGGTACATGCAGGGAAAGGCGGTCCCGTAGATATGTTGGACCCTGGCCATATAGGGCTTTAAAGGTAAGAACCAGCACCTTGAAGCGGATTTGGTATGCTATTGGCAGCCAGTACAGTGTCCTTAGCACAGCCTGGATGTGCTCCCTTCTAGGGAGACCCATCAGCAGCCTGGCCGCGGCATTCTGCACTAGCTGTAGCTTCCAAATCCGCGACAAAGGCAGCCCCATGTAGAAAGCGTTACAGTAGTCTAGTCTCGAGGTGACCATCGCATGGATCACTGTAGCCAGGTCGGCACCGTCAAGGAAGGGAACCAACTGCCTAATCCACCTGAGATGATAAAAGGCCAACTTGGCAGTGGCCGCTACCTGGGCCTCTGTGGTAAGGGAGGGCTCCAGGAGAACATAACATAAGAACATAAGAGACGCCAATGTTGGACCAGGCCAAAGGCCCATCTAGTCCAACACTCTGTCACACAGTGGCCAAAAATACCAGGTGCCATCAGGAGGTCCACCAGTGTAATTGCAGTCTATATTGTAAATTATGGATTAGTAATTTTTTTCTCGCGATGACTAACTTTCAGCAGTCTTAAAGCTACATAATCCATAATTTAAGCTGATTGCAGAATTTTGCCTCTTGCTGTGCCTTTACCACTATTTTTTTCCCAAGCACTGTCACTGATAAAGAAAGTCACCTGGGCCCAGTGGAAAATGCTGAAAGAAATGGGCCAGAGCAGGGTGAGGTAGATGGCGGGGTTCAGTTCTCTTTTTCCACGTGTTTCATTTTTACACTCTTGCAAACACATCACTGCAGTTTACCATTGCAGGATCCCAGGAAGGGAACCACTTGCGCAGCAGTTCTGCAGGTGAGAATTTTAATTCCCTATAGCCCAGGCCAGTCTGACCTCTTCAGATCTTGGAAGGTGAGCAGGTTCAGCCTGGGTTAGTACTTGGATGGGAGACCACCAAGGCAGCCCAGAGTTGTTAAGTAGAGGCAGGCAATGGCAAACCATCTCTGAGCGTCTCTTGCCTTGAGAAAAAGGTCAGCTGTGACTCGACAGCAAAGCAACGCAAAGGAGGCTGTCTTTTATTCCTGCCTGAAATTTGTGAGGGAAGATCCCATGGGTGAAAGCTGCAATCCTTGATAAATTCATCCCAGTTTTATATATGTGTATAAGATACTGGTGGGAATGTATTTCCTATTGAATCCAAAGAAACTGTTACTGGATTGATTTCCTAATAAAGGTAAAGGTTTCCCTCACTCGAAAGCCAGTCGAGTCCGACTCTAGGGTTGCGGTGCTCATCTCCGTTTCCAAGCCGAAGAGCCAACGCTGTCCGAAGACGTTTCCGTGGTCATGTGGCCGGCATGACTAAACACCAAGGCGCACGGAACGTTGTGACCTTCCCACCGAAATGGTCCCTATTTATCTACTTGCAATTTCTTGCTTTTGAACTGCTAGGTTGGCAGGAGCTGGAACTAGAGACGGGAGCTCACTCCGTCATGCGGCACACTCGGGTCTCGAACTGCTGAACTACCGACCTTCCACAGCCTGCAGTTCAGCGTCTTAACCACTTGAGCCACCGCAGCGCCTTTGATTTCCTAATAGGACTAGTTTTATTTCCATAATTAAAGAATCAAGCATTCACAATTATACACCCTCCAAATCTGGCTTTTGGTTTCACACTCCCCTAATTTGCATTATCTTTTCTTAGGTATGCACTTCATGTTTTCAAGTTTTGCTTTTTAGTTCAATTTCCAAGGTTTAGTGAATTGATGGGATACAGTCCAGCAGAAGAGTATTCTACCATCTCTATGGCAACTGTGATTTCACACTGTTTTTATTTCATCTAAGGAGATCAGCTGGCTTTGTGAAAAGAAATAAATTGTTGTCTGGAATAGTTGTTCAGTAATAACACAAATATTACTGAATGCCATTAATGATTTTTGCATGAAATCACGCAGATTACATCACGGCGGGTTCATATTTCTCAGTTTAGACATTATACAGAGAAGCACACGACTGAGCACAAAGATTGGACCCTGTTACCTATTCTAATAAATTATTTTTAGCTTGAATATTTTACGTCTGTACCAGACTTAAAGCTTGTCCCCATTCACGTGTGCTCATGCGTTCTTTTCATCCCCTGGGCCTATGTTCCATCTGTCTTACTCAAATATAACTATGCATTGGATTGTAGCTTCACAATGCAATCCTGAACAGAGTTGCAGCCTTCTAAGCCGCATTGATTTCAATGGACTTTGAAGGATCCATCTCTGCTAGGATTGCTCTATTAACATCTGACTGCTTAAATAATGAGCTGGCTTTCAAATTTGGAAGCTTAATCCAGCATGTTCCTGTTCCAGAAATGGATAATACAGCTTAAATGAAAGAGAAAAGAGGGGTGGTGAGCAATGCTCCCTCTAAGCTGTGGAGTCTTGTGAACAACAATTCCACTTTGTGAGCTACTGGCATTACAGTTGTGAGCGAGCGATTTGGCGACGGCCAAAATTAGTTTGCTCTGGAGCCATCCTTCCTGAGCTAAGACAAAAATGTGTGAGCCGGAGGCTAAAAAACCGTGAGCTAGCTCACGCTAACTCAGCTTAGAGGGAACATTGGAAAGGGGATCCTGCACTTTGATTCTAAATCTATCTGCCTTCATAGTTAAAGATCAAATATAGTGACTGGCCCCACAGAAGCTATGGATTCCTAGGTTCTTGGAATTTAAGTTCCCCTTGCCCAAATGGCTGTCAGAGCCAAAGAGACCATGCAGCCATTGGATGGAAAGCAAGACCACTATGCAGTGAACACGGATCGGAATGATCCTCTTTGGTGGGGGACAAGGGTAAACTCTTTCAGTGGGAGGAACTGCACCAGGAAATTGTTTGCTATTAAGTTGCCCTGTTCCTTTGCCGTCCCACCTACTGCCAATGAAACCAGACAGTGTTCTTGGCATACTGGAAAGATCTGAATGTTTTCAACTATCTCTGCATGTTGGGAATTATTAGTCATATTAACAGTACTACAGAACAGCCATGATTTGGGTTGGATTTTAATTAGTTATCTGAATGTGCATCTCTGGTTTTTTGCTTCCTAGAACAGAAGGAGGTTTCAGATACACTGGCATTTACCTTGGCGGTACTGGGAACCCTCTCCCTAGTCCAGGCACTGGCTTGGACTCGGACTTAGCTTTAGCAAGGTGGTTGTGTCACATGCCTTCAGACTTGGACTACTGGGAATGTTGTTGTCTGCAAAACGTTTTCTTCCAAATAGAAAGCTAGCTATCAGGGGAAAGTTTCTAGCTCACCATTATTCCTACCTTGATTGTTTCTGGTGTGGGAAAAGGAGTATTGAAGAACATTCAACTACTTGAGGCTCTCTCTGTGGTCTAAAGTGGTACATCCCAGAAACAGGTCTACTGCCTGAGTTAAGAACTATGCCAGAATGTAGCAAGAGGGAAATGAGCAAATTTGTGTTTGGTAGACAAGAACAGCAGAAACCCCCTTTCTCTCAGCTCATTATCATATGGCATTGTAGAAAATACGGTGTGACCTCTTCTGAGCAGTAATCTTCATGTAAAAGTTGATAATTGCATTCCATCAACTTTTCACAAGATGCCTCTACAAAAACATATGGGACTAAGAGTGTGATTCATTATTAACAACATTCTATGCAGTTAAAAGGTAGTGTACTTACACTGAAAATTGGCATCATTTTTGTTTTGTTTCATTTTTGCCAACCCACTGAATCCAGAATCCGGATCTGCAGTATTTTGTTGTTCAGTTTGCTGGTAATCTCGACAGCCAGCTACATACAGTGGGGTTAATCAAGCTCAAGCAGGCAGGGTGGAAGGGGAAACTGTGTATTTATAGCCCACCTGTTTATTTATAGCCTGCTTTTCTGCTGAGACTCAGGGCGGATTATACAGTGTAAAACAATGCAGTAAAATAGCATGAAACATCCACTTAGCAATGCAACAGTTTGGCCCTTAGCTTTTCTAATATCAAGTAAGATCAGGGCTATTTTGGGGCAGGAACGCACAGGAACGGTGTTCCGGCTGGCTTCAGAGTTGGCCACGCCCACTACAGCCAAAACCTCTGGGTGCGTGGCTACAGAGGGAAGGCCTGGAGAGTGACCCCCCCCCGGCGACTCTAAGACGGATGAGCGGGGGGGGCTGGAAGGATCAGGGAGGCATTTAAATGCCTCCCCGTGCTTTCCCCAGCCCGGGCAAGCCAAGGGAAGGCAGTTTAAACTGCCTTCCCTTTCCTTCAAGGGGGGGCTTGCCCGGGCTCCCCGCAGACGCAGGGTGCCCAGGCAAGCCAAGGGAAGGCATGGAAGTGTGACCTAATATGCTAATGAGCTGTGCCGTCATGGCCTAATATGCTAATGCGTTTCTGCTGTTGCGTGTGGCCTATTATGCTAATGCGTTCCTGCTGGGCTTTTTCTACAAAAAAAAGCCCTGAGTAAGATGCAATAGAGGGAACGATGAAATCCGCAGATCACATATCCTGGCTACCTTGAAGGTCAGTCTTCCAATATTCTTTTGAAAACTGTAACTAAGAGGGCCATTTCATGAGACAAGAGAGATCAAGCCACCCTTGACAGTTCATGCTTCAGGCCGCAACCATGACACTTTACCACACAAATTCCCATAGTGAACGAATCCAACACAAACTACTTGTTCTACCTGAATTAGGAAAAAAAAACCCATTAAAATATTAGAAATGGTTTATTTGATAATGATTTATAGCGTACGTCAATAAAAATATATACAGACTAGGAACTTTGATGAGCATTAGGCTTGGCGTGATCAGTCCCTTGGCCTAATAGGGGCATTAGCTTCCTCTCATAGTGAAAAGACCAAGTATTTGCACTGACAACTGGAACAATTTTTGCTTGATGTTGTTTTTGCCAATCATGCTGAATCCAGCCTCTGGATTTGTTGTTCAGTGCACTGATAACCTTGGCAGCCAATATTCTTGACAGCCATTTACAAAATTGACAACTTCTGTTGGCAGTATGGACTTTACTGCTGGATCCTTTGGGAACTCCAGGAGAAGCTTGCAAATTCAAGAAGGGGTCACTTCGTAGAAAAAGAGGTGCAGGAGCTCATTAGCATACCTCATTAGCATAACTTATTTGCATATGCCACACCCCCTGACATCACTGGAAGTGAGGAGGCAACACCCACCGCTCAGGCGCCATTGGACTGTTTTGGATTGCTAGCTATTGGGGGGGGGACGTGCAGATCTGTCCTTGTAGAGGAGGGAGAGCTTGTACCTGAATAAAACTTGGTCTTAAAGGTGCCACTGGACTGTTTTGGACCGGAGGGCCGGGGGGAGCTCTGCGACTTACCTGGCTGCTTCTTGCTCTGACTGAGGGCTGGTGGGAGCAGGGGGTGGGGCTTGTTGCATGTGCCCGCCCCCTGGGCTCTTTACTGCCAGAGCTCCGCTCCTGTGCGCTCCTGCAGGAAATGACCCCTGGATTTGGTGCCTGTAATATGAGGGGTGCAAAAGAAAAGTGTGCCAGCGTACCAACAACAAAAAGAACAGAAAGGAACCAGTGGTCCATTGAGTCCAGCATTCTCTTTTATGCGGTGGAAGCATAGAGGCCAGAGCTTATTGCCTCTGAATGTGATCTCCTGGAATTACAACTGATCTTCAAATGACAGAAATCAGTTCCCAGGGAGAAAATTGTTACTTTGGAGAGTGGATTCGTGGCCTTATGGTGTAGTGGTTAAGTGTGCGGAGTCTAATCTGGGAGAACCGGGTTTGATTCCCCACTCCTCCACTTGCACCTGCTGATGTGACCTTGGGTCAGTCACAAGTTCTGGCACAGCTGTCCTTGAAAAAGAGCAGTTTATGTCAGAGTTCTCTCAGCCCCACCCACCTCACAGGGTGCCTGTTGTGGGGAGGGGAAGGGAGAGGAGTTTGTAAGCCACTCTGAGACTCCAAGTGAAGGGCGGGGTATAAATCCAATCTCTTCTTCTTCTTCTTCTTCTTCTTCTTCTTCTTCTTCTTCTTCTTCTTCTTCTTCTTCTTCTTCTTCTTCTTCTTCTTCTTCTTCTTCTTCTTCTTCTTCTTCCCGGCTGACTTCCCTCCCCTCCCCAAGGGGGAGGGGAAGGGAGAGGAGTTTGTAAGCCACTCTGAGACTCCAAGTGAAGGGCGGGGTATAAATCCAATCTCTTCTTCTTCTTCTTCTTCTTCTTCTTCTTCTTCTTCTTCTTCTTCTTCCCGGCTGACTTCCCTCCCCTCCCCAAGGGTCCATCCTCACATCTCCTGCAGTTTCCCAACCTGGACCTGGCAATGCTGCTGTTGATGGACCATGGTGCACCTCAATTGCAGAGGTAGGCATCTAATCTAAATGTGAGACCAGAACATTTCTAGGGGCACACGAAGTGGAGGGGGTAACAGGCAAGGAGAGAGGCCCAAGTATGTCCTGGGCCCGGACCCATGTGAAGGAACTAGAGATGCTATTCAGTTTTGCTTAATTCTTGCAGGGGCTCCGAGGTCAAAGACAGTGGCTCTTTGGCGAGGAGTGTTTGTGGGGAGTGAGGGGGCCAGTCTGCCGTTACTCAAGTACTACAGACTTGAGGTCACTGCCACCCACCAGCTGCAGAATCCTCTAGGGTACCTTGCCCTGGTGTGCTTTGGAAATGCGATTGCTTTTGGAGTCCTCCTGATTTCCATGCTCAGTAGTGGGAAGCATATTTAACGAACATTGTCACTACCAGTATATAATATAGTATTAGGGTTCCCAAATGGCACCGGGGGGCGGGGAATTCCCCGCTTTGACGGCCCGATTTTTGACGCGACGAAAATCGGGCCCGGGGAAAAACCCACCCCCCGCGTGCGCGCTCGCCTCAGACGCTGGCCGGGAGCCCCCCGCTCCCGGCCGAAACAGATTTGGCAACCCTATATAGTATACTAGAAGCAACTGAGGGGAAGAGAGAGAGATTTCAGCAAAATAAAGCAAAATAACTGCACTAAGAAAAAAATTTACCTCATAAAATGGTTTGTCACGGTCCCCGAACCCTGGCGCTGGCTGCCCTCCTGAAGCCGTTCTGTCGGTCGCTGTGGTGCCAACCGGGGAGGGTACCCAGGGATGAGGGGAGCAGCTGGGGGTTGAAGTGGGAGCTTGAGGGGTCTCAGAACAACGGGCCGCAGAGAGGGTTCCTTCACCACTCTCCCTGTCTCCGCTCAATGACTCATGGTCATGTCAGCAGCCTCCTGGGCTCTCTCCTCTCTCTGGGCGTCTTTCTCTGCCCTGTCAATATCAGCGGTGTCTCTCCTTCTCGACCTACTCCCGGCTTCTTCCTTTTATTATTTCCCCCCTTCCCTTTCCACACCTCCCCCTTGGCCCTGCCTCCCTTCAAAGCCCGGGATGCTGGGCCAGCTTCCTGCCCCTCCCACCTAGGGCCTCTGGCCGGCTGTGTCTCCGTCCTCCCATCCTCCGAGCTCCTCTTCGGCCTCCGCGATTGCCTCGCTGCACGCCTGTCCGGCTGGGCTTTGGAGTGTCAGGTGGGGGCGGGGTCATGCTCGGCCTGCTGCATCGCTTCGCGGCTGGCCCTAGCTTCTCACCAGCGCATCTTCTGGCTGCCACAGGACTGTGTCGTTTTTGTTCCTCGTTCCTCCACCACCGCTGGTAAGTTGGGGTGTCAGGGTACCTTGCGGGGTGACAGTGCTGCTGGCGGGTTTGTCCTGTGGGCCTCGGGGCAGGAGCAGGGCGCTCTGCCCTGTAACAGGGGTGGAACACTTTCCCTATGAAGAAAGGTTAAAACGCTTGTCACGCTTTAGCTTGGAGAAATGACGGCTGAGGGGTAACATGATTGAAGTTTATAAGATTGCATGGGATAGAGCAGGTTGTTCTCCCTTTCTCACAATACAAGAACTCGTGGGCACTCCATGAAATTGCTGAGCAGTTGGGTTAGAACAGATAAAAGGAAGTACTTCTTCACCCAAAGAGTGATTACCACATGGAATTCACTGCCAAAGGAGGTGGCGGCAGCTACAAGCATGGACAGCTTCAAGAGGGAGCAGAAGTTCATCAGTGGCTATTAGCCACAAGGTATAGATAGGGCAAGTGATGCTCCGTATTCTTGGTGCTTGAGAGGGGGGGCAACAGTGGGAAGGCTTCTAGTGTCCTGGCCCCACTGCTGGACCTCCTGATGGCACCTGGTGTTTTTGGCTACTGTGTGACAGAGTGTTGGACTAGATGGGCCACTGGCCTGATCCAACATTGGCTTCTCTTATGTTCTTATGTTCTTAGGCAATTGCCTACGTTTGCCAAGTGGTTGGGCCAGTGGTGCTACTTCAGGAATCATTACAATTGCAAAGACAGATCGAGAACCCGTGTCTGGGAAATGGAAAACTTTAAAAAAATGTTTGAAGATGCTTCTCCACTCCACACAGTTTTTAATTTAAAAATGAATCCTTTTTTCTGTTGTAAACATGAGAGTCCCCAGTAGGGGTGTGCAAAAAAAAAAAAAAATCGACCCATTCAGGTTCGGCCGAATCGGGCAGAATCAATTCCGGCTGGCAGTAAGACTCCCACGTGTCAGTTTCGTAGAATTGGACAGCCTGGTCCAATTTTCTTCAAACATGGTCGGTATCTTGGGGAGAGGATCCAGCAGCTACCCTGTGAGTTTGGAGCCTCTCCCTCAAACCCCCTCCCCTCCAGCCCCCAGAATATACCCTATGTTTTTGCCATTGACTTCAATGACCCATAGGATACAATGGGGCCGAATTGCCGCCGAAATTTGGCGGCAATTCGGTGGCAAGCCGATTCAGATCAGAGAATCTGAATCAGCCTGCAGCAGCCCG